AAACATCCGTAAGCATAGCAATACTTTCAATTACTGTTTAAATACATAGACGAGCTCCACCACGTTCAGCTGCGAGCCTTGTCGGAGTTTCTATCCTAACTCGCCCCATTCCGTCGGTTTATAACTGAACAAAAAATACTTTATCACGGTTCTACCAACTGTGTATAAATTCACAAAGGCCAGGCTTATACAGTATCGTACGTCCAATGCACACTGCGCCCCATGATAAGCTTACAATAAAACTGCTCGTCTCATGAACCTCACAGAATTGGCTGTGGGTTGACTCAATCATATGATAGTAAATTTGAGAGTAATTCGAAATCTCGCGCTAGTCTTTTTATATGACCGGCTGGCAACGGATTTACGCTTTATGCAAATTTAGTAACAATACAATCACCTTTTTGTCAATGACTAAAAACTTGTTATTCACTAAGTGAATTAGCATATTATTTAAATATTAGAGCAACACGCATATGGTAGGGAAAAATATAAGTTCTAATGTGACATATACAGAATCAAAAAGTTTAAATATCCATCATGACCATCGATCCATTCTGAATAACATTTCGAATTAAATATCAAGTATCCCACCAATGAAGTTAAAGTTCAAGTTTATTCACCATTTAAAGTAAATCCATCAAGATATATTTTTATAAATGAATAAATGCAAATGGTAGGGAATGACCAATAAGAGCAAAGCTCGATGCGATGGCCACCCTGAGTGATGTGCCCTTAAAAAAAATGCCAGTGCACTCACAATATAGAAAAAGTTAGAGTTTGATGCTGGTTTGAGACTCCACACCCACTTCACTTCCACCATCAAGCAATTAATTGTTCATGTTGTCTTAGGCCTAGTTCAGACTAGGTGGATAAACCCGGCCCAACTCACCGGGTTTATCCACCTGCCAGTCTGAACTACTGTAGGTGGCTTATCTCAAGCCGGGCTGTGTTCCTATAGTAACTAGGCCTGGCGCGCCACCGTGTTTAACTTTTCTATGCCGGGTTTTAATTGTTGCGGGGGGTCTTGCATTGACTTCGGGTGACAAAATGACCAATCAGCATTCAATTACGTACGCTGTGAGCGAGCGTACATTTTGCGAGCAATGTTTTGAAACACGTTTCCTGGTTACGGTTCATTATTATGCAAATTCTCGCCTGGCTAAACCAGCTAGTCTGAACGGCTGGCAAAGTTAAGCCGGGCTTAATGTTGAGTCAGGCTTAACTCAAGCCAGGCTTATCTCCAAGTCTGAACATAGCCTTAGATTTGTTTATAATGTGCTATAAAGTAACCACAATATTTTATTAATAATTTTATAAATTTATGCAAATTTATGCAAAACACTATATTTTCAGATATTCCGGCTAGTGGCGTATACTTCATGTCATATGAATTAATTAAGAGGACAATAACACCAGCCGGATCTGAGTAAGTATCTATGATAAAGTTATTTCAGTAATTTTTTTTTACTAAAATGACAGCACACACATACATTCAGAGCACCATCATATCAGGATTAGCTGGAGTAGCATCGCATCATTGCAGAATTGTGCATATTAAAATTTCATAACATTTCAATACAAATGAAAAGATGATGAAATCACACTCAAGAGTTCAATTTAAACTCATCCAACCTTCAAAGTGACTGTAATATTTGAATTAGTACTTTGTGAATCGACATTTAGAATGGGCATTTTCATGGTCAATTAGTGTAATACCATGGTTTGATAAGTCTCAACTTCAACTTTCATGTATCCATTTTACATGGAAAAAATTATACTGTTAATAAAAGTGATAATAAGGATGATGGTGATGCAAGTGGTGAATTTTATTTGCTGTTGGATGAATTAGATAAAACGATGCTGATGGCAATGGTAGTAATACTATATCTCATTATCAGGGAAACTGCCTTATTCTAACATTATTTTGATACGTTGTCTTACAGTCCTACTAGCCTGAGTGTTGGACGAGTACTATTTGCAGGAGGCTTAGCTGGAGTATTTAACTGGGCTGTTGCAATCCCACCTGATACCCTTAAATCTAGGTTACAAACAGGTAAGTAAAACATTGTGTAACACATGGTGGATGCTTTAATGCATCGTGTAGCACAGGAGTGCTTTGTTCCATCATGTAGCATGGGGGTGCTTCAATGCATCGTGTAGCACAAATGTGCTTTGATATATCGTGTAGCACAGGGTTGCTTTGATGCATCCTGTAGCACAGAGGTGCTTTGATGCATCAAGAATATGGGTGCTTTTAATGTATCATGTAGCATAGTGGTGCTTTGATGCATCGTGTAGCACAGGCCCACTTTGAAGCATCGTGTATCACATGCCTGCTTTGAAGCATCTTGTAGCACAGGTATACTTTGTTTAATTAGTTTAAATATTACAATCTTTAAAGAAAAAAATCAGGGCTTAGTAAGACATTTTTTTTTGTAAAATCTCATTACGATTTGATTAACAATGCAAGCAGTGTGACCATCATCTTTATCGAACTCAGACTGCTCGAAAGCCTGAAGAAATACCGCTGCACTACACAACTTCAAAATAGAAGCACTTTGTTGTCTTCATTAGAAATGCCACATATTCCGAAACTTTATTTGTATTTCCTTGCTCTCTGCTTAGCTCCAGCTGGCCAGTATCCGAATGGCTTACGAGATGTATTCCGGGAATTAATTGCTAAGGAAGGAGTGATGTCATTGTACAAAGGATTTACTCCCGTCATGTTGAGGGCATTTCCTGCCAATGCCGTAAGTATTTGAGAGTATTCTCGGTCATCAAACTTTATAGTTCATATTTTTATCAAACTTGACGGTGCATGATTTAAATATTAATTTACACAAATGGTATCCTTTTTTGCACCAGCTATTAATATATATAATAAATCACTTGACTTACAAATTATGCTACAAGTTATGTGCAACTTCAGGAAGCAGTTTGGCACAGCGGGAATGATTTGGTTTCCCGACCTTGGGGTCAGTCTTTCAATTGATTGCTGTGCATTTTGCTTGTGTCCTTGAGCAAGGAATTTTTTCTGCATTGCTTCTCTTCACCTATGAGTATAAATAGATACCTGGTAGGATTGCTTGCTACTGCATCAATATGGCAGCAACACTTGAGCATGTAGACCCAATGACCTGGGAAAAATAATGGAATAATTCCTAAAGGAATGGGCACTATATAAGTACCAAATAACAAATAACTTTTTTGTGTGTGTTTGTGTATAATTTTCATGTAATGATGTATCTTGGTTTGTTAATATTTTATTTGCTCTGTAATATTCAAAATGGTAGACAGACTTGTACAGAGAAGATTTCCCTTTCTTGTCTGCCATCTCTATTGGAGGAAAATAATATGATGAATTTTTTAATTATGAATGTATACATTTAAATTCATAGTAAAGTCTTTTGTACTCTTGTAACATACTTTCATATAATATACCAATAGAGAGAAAGGAAGACAGTGTCAAATATGTTATTATAAATATCATTGGGATGACGTATCAGTGATGTCGATAAAACGTGGTTCAAGAAGGTTCTAATGGAAATAATGTGAAAGCCTAACAATCGGTGTAAGCCCTCTACAAACTTATAGTAGACCTGCTTATTTAATATGTTGTTAAGGCTAGTCTTTTTTATACCTTGGTTTGCGAATTTATTTAAATAAAATTTTGTTTTCTTGTTTAGCAAATTGTTTTGCAAAAACATCCAAATGGAGGAGAAAATAAAAATAAAATGTTATTGGTTAATGTAAACAGTGTATTAATGTGATGGTTAAATGCTTTAAATTTATATAAATGGGAAGAAATACACATATTTTATTTTTAGAGATTTCAAGGGAGTGGCAGTCATAATAATAATAATAAAGAAAAACTTTTATTTTTTTAAATTTTCATTTTTTTTGTTTTGGCGGGTGTGCTAATTGGCCAAAAATAAAATTTTATTTTTATTTGAAATCATCATTATTGGCTGGAGACGGGTTCACTAAACAAGGTATAACTTAAAGTCTGGCCTGAACAGTCATACCTGTATGCACATACTTGAATCGATCTAATAATGTAATGTTCTTCTTGCAGGCTTGCTTCTGTGGTTTCGAGTGTGCCATGAAGTTCCTCAATTGGGCTGCCCCTTCATTATAACCCCACTCATCGATGAACAATGATTTCTTAGAAAATAATATAGTTATTTATCTATGGTTCAACTCGGACATTACTATAATTATTTAAAATAATAATAAAGAATGATTTCTGCAGAACTATTATAATACATTTTCACATAGGCTGTATTATACAGTGCCCCCCTCCAATTCGAGACCCCCTTATTCAAAAGAACCACATAACAATCTTCATTCTTTTAATACGAAGCTGACCCACTGGCGACTGAACCCGACCCATTGGCGACCGAAACCAGAGACCATTCCAAATTTTCAAGTCCCAAAAGTGGTCTCAAATTGGAGGGCAATCTATATGTGAAGAATGTATGTATTTGTTACTTATGTTGTCAGTTAGAAAAATGTTACTTGTAAGTTCTGTTAATTAAATCATGGCAATTGTTTCATGATTTTATATATTAAAAAATAATGTAATTATTTCGTACCTGGCAATGCACGTTTGTAACATAAAAGGAACCAATTTAAAATTCATAATTAATATTTCATGGCACAATGCTAATCTGAACTCGACACTTGTTTTGTAATACAATGCAATTAGATAAGTAATTTAATCCATTTTGGTGTTGTTATGATGTTATGAAATTGATAATAAACAGGTTGACTAATGAATTGTAGTTCTTTCTAATGTTTATAGTCTTAAGTGCAAGGCTGTTCCATCAGTTAATCTTTGTATTACAGAATTTCAAATCCATATAGGGTACATAGAGAACAAAGCAAGTACAGCATAAATACAATCTAAACATAGTGGAAAATATGTGGAAGCGGTTTGTCACAGTGGGAACAGTTTGTTTTCCCAAACTCGAGGTCGGGGATTCAATGTATTCCTAATTGTGCATTTTGCTTGTGTCCTTGAGCAAGGCACTTTTTCCGCATTGCATCTCTCCACCCAAGAGTATGAATGGGTACCTGATTAACAGCAGCAACACTTAAGCATGTTGATTCAATGGCAAGGGAAAACAAAACGCTTTGTAACCTAAAAGGAATATGAGGTGCTATATAAAAATACAAACAAAACGAAAAACCCAGTGCACTTCATCTCCAAAAGTTAAACTAAATGAGAATGTTCCAAAGTTGATACATTTGGAATAAATTCATTAAATCGATCTTTTAAGATTGACTGCCAAACTTCACAACTGACCATTCAGAATGTGTTATTTAATACGCACAAGTCCCCCAAACACGCAGGTTTACATTGTTTAAAGTCGACGCCTTAGCATAGAAATAATATCAGTTTAATGATCCACAAATCGCAGTAAAGATGGAATTGCTTTGGATTTACAAATTGCATGTACTGTATAAAATGTCAAAAGTGAAAAGCGAAAATAAAAGAAAGACAATCAAAAACAATAACTCTAACAAACAATATCCAGTGAAATGGGTTAGAGCAGAAAAGTCTGTTAGACCAATGGCAAGGTAGACATTTAACAAGGTACCATAACTTGGAAATCAAAAATCGGATATTCTATACGACCTTCATATTTCTTAGAAAAATACTTTAAAAGCAAAATCCCCTAAATATTACAACAATGGCGAAATTAAAGGAATCTTTAACTTTGTTTCCGATACTAGAACTTTCTTTGAACTTCAAAACATGATCATTGGCTGACAGAGTTTACGTCTTACGGAAGTGTACGCCCTCAACAGAAAGATTGAGTTTTGAAAACCAGTAGCCAAGTACTGTATTGTACCTGTTACTGTTGTAGCACAATACGGGAAAGATAGTTCCATCCGTATCCCAAAATTTTAGGGAAACGACTACTGCGTGTTATTATCGACAATCACCGGAAGATCACATCCCACACTTGTAATTTCGGTTCTAAAGTACTTCCGAAAGTACGTTGAGCAGCCTTTATATAAACAAAACAACGTAACAGAATGTTTTAAATAGTAGACTTGTAGGTAATTAGTCCATACTTCAAGGCGCCTCTTTCATAACTCATTCTCCAGAATGGGATTAAGAATCGGAGGTAAGTTTATGCTAGTTAATTTGTAGTCCAATATATAGAACTTTGTACAGTATTTTCTTCAACTTTTATATTTAAGACCGATTTTAGCAATGTTTTGGTTTTGACACGACATTCTCGGTCGTTTGGTGTTTGACACAACAGACTTACAACTAAGGTAGCGCCAAAGAAACAATCAGGGATTGACAGTGTGTACCTGACTTTCCATGAATACTCTGATATACGTACCCAAAGGGAGAGCCAAAGGGAGAGCCCCCCCCCCAGCGGGGGGGGGGGTTGGGCAG